ACCAGGCAGGCAGGGCTGGGAAAGGCAGGAAGAAGCCCCTGGGGGCTCCCCCAGCTCTCACCTTGATGACACGGCCCCTGAAGACGCTCTCGTCCAGCTCCACCGCAGCCTTGACAGAGCTCTGCTCCTCGAACTCGATGTAGGCATAGCTGTGTGTGGGCAATGGTGTGAGCAGAGCCCCAGGCACACCCTGCAGCCCCCCCAGCCCCCCTGCACACTGCACTGACCCTTTGGGGTGGCCCGAGAACTTGTCACAGAGGATGGTGACGCGGTTGATCTGCCCACAGCTGTTGAAGTGAGACTCCAGCTCTTCTGCTGTGCCCCCGTAATCCACCTGCAACGACAGCCCCAGCCCTCAACTCTCCGGCATCTGATGCCTTGGGGTTCAGCTTTTACATTTTTCAGGTTCTCTGCTGCCTGGTGTGTAACTCTGAAGCTCCCTGTGAGGTGTTAGTAGGGTCTCTTCACAGGGTGGTTGGACAAAACAATCCCTTCCCAGCTGGAGAATCAAGGACAGCCTTACCCAAAAAGCACAAACAGCTGTGAAGGGAAGGGAGCAAGGCAGGGGGTTAATACTTCATGAGCTGGAGCTGGACAACTGAAACCAATATGTAGATGAACTAAAACTTAGAAAAGTGTAAAAACTTGTGACTGGGATCCACCTTGGCTTCAACCTGGGTGCAGCCCTGGCCAGGCTCTTGTGCTGCCCAGGGTGTGTCCCTTTACGGCCTTGCAGTAAATACCTATACTGTCCATTTAGCTCTGTCTGGTCTCTGTTCCAGACCAGCCTCTCAAGGCATCAGATCCAGCAGGGGAGGCAAAGGGCCCAGCTGGCCCCACTCACACCCCCAGCACGGCTCAGCCCCCACTGAGGCTCAGGGGACCCTCCCAGCGCTGAGTGCCCCCGCCTGGAACACAAATCCAACAGACAACCTGCCCTGTTTTGAAGGAACAAGCAACACCACACAACCCACAGCTTCTAGGGGGCTTTTGGGAAGCTGACACCTGCAACAGGTGAGCTGCAAGTGGAGGATAACGAGCCACATTCCCAGGCTGGGCAGAGAAGAAACACCTGGGATGGGAACAGCCAGACTTTGGGGAGGGGCAGATCCACAGCAGGGATTTGGGATACACACCCAGCTGGGCACGGAGCAGGGGCTCCCACTTACATTGCCCACGTAGATGGAACGCTGGTCAGCCTCCACCTTCTCCTTGGTAGTCAGTGGGAAGAGAGCTGTGGAGAGGAGGGATTTGTCACGGACAGAGGGACACATCTGTCTGCTCCCAGCACAGCCACCCTGAGCTCCTCAGATCCCTCTCATATCCAGGTGTACCCAAACCCTCACACTGTGGCCCTCTCCTCCATCCCATTGCCCCTTTTCTTTTCACTGTGACTCCTCTACTGGGGCTGTTGGTACTAAACTCAATTACTTAATTGAATTAAATGCAATTAAATTAATTTACTACATCTGGGCCCACACAGGTAGGAGGTTAGAGCTGATGGAATGTGCATTAGCAGGCCTGGAACCCCCTTCACCGACCTTATGCATCCAGTCCCAGAGAGGCACAGCCAAATCCTCTGGCTCCAATTGCCACCCTGTGCCCCAGAGGGGTCCCTGGGGAGGGCCAAAAGCACCCAGGGACAGCCCATACCTGCTTCTGAGCTCATGAACAGGTGATTGTCAGCTTCCAGCTGCAGCTCCTTCAGCCTCTCATCCTCCTTCTCTATTTCCCGCAGTTTGGCTTTGATGGCCTCCAGCTCCTGCATCCCAAACCAAGAATTTCACAAGCAGCACTTGGAGCAAGGACACCCCAGGTGTAAAAGGGTCCCCATTTCCTTTGGAAAGCTGGTTCCCCATGCAGGCAGGCACTCACCGGGTCCTGAACATCCTGCTCCTCCGCGCTGTTCCCCTCCTGGGGGCTGGGGTCTGAGCCCTCATCCACTGCCTTGCACACGGCTGCCACCTCTGCCACGTCCCAGGGCGCCGCCTCCGCTTGCAGGGACGGCGGGTCCTGCCACCAGATCTCCGAAGTGTCCAGGAAAAGAGGACTGGGCAGGAGAGGGGGCAAAAGGCATTGAACCAACAGCCATTTAACGTCTCGGCTAAAGCACAGCCTGCGCCGGGCAAGGGCGTTTCCAGCAGGAGGATGGAGAGGGGACATTAACGCAGCTGCTTCTCTGTGCAGCAAAGC